ACTTTGGGAGGCCAAGGCAGGTGGATCATGAGGTCAAGAGATCGAGACCAACCTGGTCAACATGGTGAAACCTCGTCTCTACTAAAAATACAAAAAATTAGCTGGGCGTGGTGGCGCGTGCCTGTAATTCCAGCTACTCAGGAGGCTGAGGCAGGAGAATTGCCTGAACCCAGGAGGCAGAGGTTGAGGTGAGCCGAGATTGCGCCATTGCACTCCAGCCTGGGTAACAAGAGCGAAACTCCGTCTCAAAAAAAAAAAAAAAAAAAGAAATGCAAACATTAGCTGGGTGTGGTAGTGCATGCCATTTGTCCCAGCTACTCTTGGGTGGCTCAGGCAGGAAAATTGCTTGAACCCTGGAGGAGGAGGTTGCAGTGAGCCAAGATGGCACCAATGTACTCCGGCCTGGGCAACAGAGTGAGACTCTTTCTCAAAAAAAAAAAAAAAAAAAAAAAAAAAATATATATATATATATATATATATATATATATATATATGTATGTATGTATGTATTAGATGTGTTACTGGTTGTGTAATACAGTAAAATTGGGTGAAGAAACCTAGGCAAGTTATTTGTATTTTAAGGGCTTGGATACAAATGTATAACCAAATCCTCGGCTTTTACTTTATCTTATTTTATTTATTTATTTATGAGAGGAGTCTTGCTCTGTCGCCCAGGCTGGAGTGCAGTGGCACGATCTAAGCTCACTGCAACCTCCACCTCCTGAGTTCAAGCAATTCTCCTGTCTCAGTCTGCTGAGTAGATGGGATTACAGGCATACGCCACCACACCTGACTGATTTTTGTACTTGTAGTACAGATGGGGTTTCACCATATTTGTCGAGCTGGTTTTGAATTCTTGACTTCAAGTGATCCACCTGCCTCAGCCTCCTAAAGTGCTGGGATTACAGTTGTGAGCCGCCATGCCTGGCCACCATAGGCATTTTTTTTTTCTTCTCAGCCTATCGATGAGACACCCTAGGCATTTAAATTAAAGTAATATATGGACTGGATGGGGTGGCTCACTCCTGTGATCCCAACACTTTGGGAGGCCTAGGTGGGCAGATCATGAGGTCAAGAGATGGAGAGCATCCTGGCCAACATGGTAAAACCCCATCTGTACTACAGATACAAAAATTAGCCAGGAGTGGTGGCTCACGCCTGTAGTCCGAACTACTTCAGAGGCTGAGGCAGGAGAATTGCTTGAACCCAGGAGGCGGAGGTTGCAGTGAGCTGAGATCTCACCATTACACTCCAGCCTCGGTGACAGAGTGAGACTCCATCTCAAAAAAAAAAAAAATTAAAGTAATGTAATAAAATAGGATGCAAAACCGTTTACAGTCTTCTTTTGGGGTCTTCATTCACCTTGCAGGTTTGTGTTGCTTTAGGTAATATACAAACATATGGAATTGTCAAGATTAAAAACTCAAAAGTTAATTGTTTAGCATATGGAAGAATTTCTTTTTTTATTTTTATTTTTTTATATTTTTTAATTTTTTTAAATTTTATTTATTTATTAAAGATGGAGTTTCACCATGTTGGCCAGGCTGGTCTTGAACTTCTGACCTCAGGTGATCCGCCTGCCTCTCAATGTGCTGAGATTACAGGCGTGAGCCACGGCTCCCAGTCCTAGAAGAATTTCTTCTTAAAGAATAGTTTTAGGCCAGGCGTGGTGTGGCTCATGCCTGTAATCCCAGCGTTTTGTGAGGGATCGCTTGAGTGATGGGCAGATCGTTTGAGACCAGCTCTTACAAAGATGCTGCAATGAACATTACTGTACATGTCTACTGTTGAACATTTGCTAGAATTTCTCTAGGCCCTTTCAGATGCTTTTTAAACAGTTGAACTAGTGATGTTTTGGGGCTTGATAATTATTCGTTGCAGGTACTTTCCTATGTTTAACAGCATATCTGGCCTCTACCCATGAGATGCCACTTGTACTCTTCATGTTGTGACAAAAATGTCTCTAGGCATTGCCATGGTTCTCAAGCATGCAGAATCACCCCTGGCTGAGAACTGTTGTTGCTTTTTTTGTTTTGAGACAGAGTTTCACTCTTGTGGCCCAGGCTGGAGTGTGATGGGCAATCTTGGCTCACTGCAACCTCCGCCTCCTGGGTTCAAGTGATTCTCCTGCCTCAGGCTCCTGAGTAGCTGGGCTGGGATTACAGGTGCCCGACAACATGCCCAGCTATTTTTTTTTTTTTTTTGTATTTTTAGTGGAGATGTTTTTTTGCATGTTGCCCAGGCTGGTCTCGAACTCTTGACCTCATGATCCTCCCACTTTGGCCTCCCAAAATGCTGATACTACAGGTGTGAACCACTGCGCCCAGCCCATTGTTGCTTTTGATACATGAACAATTAAAAATTATTTTTGTGTGTTCCCTGTACTCCATGAAGGAGAACACAAGTTTTCCTTTTCTTCTTTTTAGAGGCAGAGGGCTCACTCTGTCTCCTATGCTAGAATGTGGTGGTGAGATCATAGCTCACTGAATCCTTGAGCTCCTGGGCTAAAGGTAGTTTCCCACCTCAGCCTTTTGGGTAGCTGGCACTATAGGCTTTACAGGTGCATGCCACCATGCCCAGCTCAGCACATCTTTCTTTGGCTCACGTCCCATTTATCTTCATGGCCCATCTGAAACCCACGCGTTAAAGCCGTCTCCTACAGTGCCCATTTGTAGTCTTGTCTTTTCTCCAGGAATTTCTACAGCACTTAACGTTTGTATCTTGAATTTGACTCTGAAGTTTTTGTTGTCCTGTATTGTCAACTTTGCCAGGATTCCTCATCCTGATGTATTTTCACCCCGTCCCCAAATAAGGAAACAATGAGTTTTCACTGTTGTTTTTTTTTTTTTTTCCAACGTTCAATAGAATTTGTTCTGTTCAAGGGTTTTCACTTTGTAACAAAGAGGAAGGAATCTGTTGTCAGTTGTTTAATCTCTATTGCTGTTGTTAATTTCCTTTGGATTCTGGTCAATTTAGGCAGCTATCTGGGAAGAATTTTTTTTATTAATATACTTCTGACTTCTTCACCTACAGCAGGGTGGAAGCCATCCTGAAGCACCCAAAGCTCTGTACACCTTTCTGCTACTTAAGTTCTCAGCAGAACCTCAGTAACTCCTAGATTTTTACCTTTTCAAAGCTGATTTTGAGTAGTTTGCTCACCTCTTGATATTCATGTTAAGTACTTAAATGTTAGCTGCCCCAACTGTTAGTTATGCAAACATCCTTCCTTCAGCTTCAGCCTGTGCACATCTCCAGGACTGATGGGAGGTCTTTTTAGAATGACAATGTCATGTGCTCCTTTTGTCTTTTCTGCAGTGGGTGTAGCTCTTTTGGTAGTCAGTGCCTGTGTTTTACATTTTTGAGATTGTTCCCTTCACCTGTGTGAGACAAACAAGTGTTACTTCTCTTCTCCTTATTGCCCCCAGGTCCTTGAAATTATTATTTTTTTAAGAGTCTCCTCTTTCACCCAGGCTGGAAAGCAGTGGCTTGATATGGGCTCATGGCAACCTCTGCCTTCCGGGTTCAAGCAGTTCTCTGTCTCAGCCTCCCAAGTAGCTGGTATTACAGGTGACCGCTACCATGTCTGGCTATTTTTTTTGTATATTTAGTAGAGACAGGTTTTCACCATCTTGGCCAGGCTGGTCTTGAATTCCTGACCTCGTGATCCACCTGCCTTGGCCTCTCAAAGTTCTGGGATTGTAGGTGAGAGCCACTGCACCTGGCCATTTTTTTTTTTTTTTTAATTTTTTAAACTGAGTCCTGCTCTGTTGCCCAGGCTAGAGTGTAGTGGGGAGATCTTGGTTCACTGCAACCTCCACCTGCCTCCACCATGTTTGGCTAATCAAATGTAACTTTTTTTTTTTTTTTTTGAGACGGAGTTTTGCTCTTGTTACCCAGGCTGGAGTGCAATGGCTTGATCTCGGCTCACTGCAACTTCCGCCTCCTGGGTTCAGGCAATTCTCATGCCTCAGCCTTCTGAGTAGCTGGGATTACAGGCACACACCACCATGCCCAGCTAATATTTTGTATTTTTTTTTTAGTAGAGATGGGGTTTCATCATGTTGACCAGAATGGTCTCGATCTCTTGACCTCGTGATCCACCCGCCTCAGCCTCCCAAAGTGCTGGGATTACAGGCTTGAGCCACCACGCCTGGCCAAATGTAGCATTCTTAACAAGCCATCCTCTAGATTTAAAATGGTTTATAATTTAAAACTAAAATGGTTTCCAGTTGCAAACCATTTTAACTTGAAAATTTTCAGTTTGACAGTCAAGTTAACTAGTCCCATCATTTTTCTTCAGAACATACAAATTTTTGGGCCTTTCTTTTTTTTCGCCCATACAGAGGATCTTATTCTTTTTTCCAGACTGGAGTGCAGTGGCGCAATCATAGCTCACTGCACCTTTGAACTTGGGCTCAGGGAATCCTCCTACCTCAGCCTCCTGCTGGGTACAGGCTTGCCACCATACCTGGCTAATTTTTTTTTTTTAATCTCACAGGCACATTTATTTTGCTGGAATAAAGTTTCTAATTAGGTCTGTTCTCTGGGGCAGCTGCAACCTTGGCAGAAGGGACCAGGGAGAAGACATAGAGGGCCCCACAGTAGGGAGGTGTGAGGAAAAGTCACCGCCACAGGCCCAGTAAGGAGCTGAGGGGAGGGAAGATGAGGGGTGGGAGGCTGAGCGCCCAAGAAGTAGCAGTGGCTGGTGGGAGACAGACCCCAAGCCAGGGGACTCTGCACAATCTGGGCACAGACCTGGGACACCAAGTGACCTCCTGGGGTGGGGGGAGTTCTGGTTCCTCTGAGGCCATATCTGGCATGAATCCACAGGAAGCCTCACCCCAGGATGGAAGAATTTGGGTGGGAGCTGCCTGCCCTGGGGAGTCCAGAGGAGCAGCAGCCAAAAGAGCTGGGGGGGCTGGACTCCAGCAGAGGCATCCTCCTGCAAGTGACCAGGTCACTGTCCATGTGGCCGCCTCTAGGGGCTGTCAGGGCGGCGGCTACTGCACCAGCTGGTAGGTGATGTACCTGCCGGCCATCTCGCTGGGCCGGATGATCTTCACCACCTGGCCATGCTTTATCCCAAAGTATCGAGCCACGGGGTCTCCCACCTGGATCCTGGGCAGCTGGTTCTCTCAGAGCTTATATCGGGCCAGCAGCTTCGTCACTTCCTTCTTGGTCATGACGACGTGCTCAGGGACCAGCTTGTGCTCTGTGATGTTGATGAGCAGCTCCTGCTGCAGAAACTGCTCCAGGATGTACTTGGGAGCCATGTCAACCAGGGACTGCTTGGCGGAGGGTGTCATCCCCTGCTGCACCACGATGAGGGCCCTGGTGATGTTCTCCTCCTGCATGCGCTGGCAGTACACCTTGATGGTCTTGATGCCCACCTTGGGCTCCTCTGGAAAGAACACAAACATCTGGTCGGTGGGGTCATCGTTGTGTGCCACCAGCACAGTGAGGTCTGTGCACCGCGGCCGCCCCTCACTCGGCTTGTCCCCAAACTGGGCTTTGAACTCCTCCAGTGTCTGGTCAAGCTCGTCCTGGGTCACTAAGTAGCTACGGTCATGGCATAGCTGCATGATGGTCTTGCGGATTTTCCAGAGCCAGTACGTCTCCTCCTCATCATCCATGACAGTCGCCACTGCTGTTTTTGTTTTTTTGAGACCAGGTCTTGGTCTGTCACCCAGGCTGGAGTGCAGTGTCAGGATCTCGGCTCACTATAACCTCTGCTTCCTGGGTTCAAGCAATTCTCCTGCTTCAGCCTCCTTAGTAGCTGTGATAACAGGCATCTGCCACCACATCCAACTAGTTTTTATGTGTTTAGTAAAGAGGGGGTTTCACCATGTTGGCCAGAGAGGTCTTGAATTTCTGATCTCAGGCAGTCCACCCACCTTGGCCTCCCAAAGTGCCGGGATTACAGACATGAGCCACTGCACCCAGCCTTTTAATTTTTAAAAATATTTACATGGACAGGGTCTGTGACCCAGGCTGGTCTTGAACTCCTGGCCTCAAACCATCCTCCCACCTGGGCCTTCCAAAGTCCTGGGATTATGGGCATGAGCCACCCCACCCATCCTGGTTTTTAGGCCTTTGTAACTAAATAATTCATTCACTCAAGTGATAACTCTCTGCTTCCTGTACTTAAATACAAAGATTTATCAAATAATTTTTCTAAGGCTGGGGTGGTGATTCATGCCTATAATCCCAGCACTTTGGGAGGCTGAGGAGGGTGGATCACCTGAGGTCAGGTCAAGATCAGCCTTGCCAACTGGTGAAACCCTGTTTCTACTAATAATACAAAAATTAGAGTCCACTGTGGTGGCTCACACTTGTACTACCAGCTACTTGGGAGGCTGAGACAAGACAGTTGCTTGAACCCAAGAGACAGAGGTTGCAGTGAGCTGTGATTGCACCATTGTACTGTCTGTGCGACAGAGCAGGACTCTGTCTCACAATGTTACATTTATGAGATTCATCTATCTAGGTGGAAGTTTGAGGGGCAGGGGTGTGTGTGTGTGTGGGGGGGGTGTGTGTGTGTGTAATGAGAAAGAGTCTCACATTCCCCCAGATTGGTGTGGAGTAGTAGAGATGAGATTTCACCATGTTGGCCGGGCTGGTCTTGATTTCCTGACCTCAGGTGATCCACCTGCCTCGGCCTCCCAAAATTTTAGGATTATAGGCGTCACCACTTCACAGGTCTGATTAAAGTCTTTCAGCATGGAAAGACTTGAATTCAGAGCTGAGTAGAATGAAGAGAGTGGAAACCTGTAAGGCATTCTTCTTACTGGAGCAGATCTAGCGAAGTAGCTTGGCTCTGAAGAAATAGTTGTGGCACAATTTCTGACCCCCAAATCTTAACTAATATGGTGTGTTCGTCAAACAGTTGAAACAGCAACTTCCTGCTCCCCACATCTCAGTGAAGGTTCTATGAACGTGGACCCTGATTCTTCAGTTTTCTGTTTGTAGTAGCAATGACAGTTCCCTTGACAGCTCTTGCTGCAACAATGTTCTGGGAGACACCCGTGGGGATCCAGATGAAAGCCGGCTCCTGCAACCTTCAACAGTGCTCTAACACTAGTCAATATCAAAACCCTTTCTGCTTAAGTTAACCAGAGCAGTGTCTACTATGGGTAATTGAATCATGACTGATACAATTATGAGATATAAACTGATGACAGTGACAAGTGGGAAACCTGTACAAATAACAAATGTGAATCATGTGGAGGTTTATTCACACCTATTTGCCTTTTGATAGTAATCCTTTCTGATAATTGGTTTCCTAGTTTAATCTTTATGAAATTAACTTGAATGGCTCAAAATTCATTTTGTAGCTCTAAATTTAATTACTAATTGAGCCGTTTAACCAAACTAGCTGGCCACCAACAGCTTTTTAATCTCAGTGGCCTACTGTAGATAGATAGATCCCTTATCTTAACAAGCTAAGGGATACCATACATTCTCTCTAAAGAACATCGCTGGCCTGGCACGGTTGCTCATGCCTATAATCCCAGCACTTTGGAAGACCAAAGTGGGCAGATCACGAGGTCAGGAGATCAAGACCATCCTGGCTAACACTACTAAAAATATAAAAAATTAGCCGGGTGTGGTGGCATGTACCTGTAGTCCCAGCTACTTGGGAAGCTGAGGCAGGAGAATTGGTCAAACCCTGGAGGTGGAGGTTGCAGTGAGCTGAGATCATATCACTGTACTCCTGCCTGGGTGACAGTGAGACTCCGTCTCAAAAAAAAGAACACCACAGATGCTCACATACAGGCTAAGTAGGCTATGCCTGTTATTAATATATCCAAGTACCAGTTGAATACTCAGCAAGTCAGCAGTATTTCCAGTCCAGTTTATGCCAGCTGTGCAATTATGAGATATAATTAAAAATAATATTAATATAAAAATACATAAATAGGTGAGCTTTGAATACCAAATTTTAGTTGAATCCTTTGGAAAGCACCATTAAAGATAAGATAATTTTTTCTTTAATTTTTGAGACAGAGTCTCACTCTGTTGCCAGACTGGAGTGCAGTGGTGGGATCTGGGCTCACTGCAACCTCCACCTCCCAGGTTCAAGTGATTCTCCTGCCTCAGCCTCCCTAGTAGCTGGCACTACAGGTGTGTGCTACCACACCTAGGTAATTTTTATATTTTTAGTAGAGACGGGGTTTCACCATGTTGGCCAGGATGCTCTCCATCTCTTGACCATATGATCCACCCGCCTCTGCCTCCCAAAGTGCTGGGATTACAGTTGTGAGCCACCTCACCTGGCAATTTATTTTTAATCTCAAATGAGGTGTGGGAATTATAACTACAAAGTTAAGAGATGGGAATTTGTATAAATCTACAAGGATTCTGGCTTGTATTGCTTCTCCAGTATCCTAATTCTCACGCTACTGTTTCATTAAACAAAGTAACAATAAAAACAAAACAGAAACTGACCAGGTGCCATGGCTCACACTTGTATTCCCAGCACTTTGGGAGACCAAGGTAGGCAGATCACTTTGAGCTCAAGAGTCGAAGACAAGGCTAGGCAATATGCCAAAATATTGTTTCTACAAAAAATGCAAAAATTAGCCAGATGTGGTGGTGTCTCTCTGTAATCCCAGCTACTTGGGAGGTTGAGGCAGGAGAATCGCTTGAACCCGGGAGGTGGAGGTTGCAGTGAGCCAAGATCATGCTATTGTACTCCAGCCTGGGCAACAAGAGTGAAATTCTGTCTCTTGGCAACAAGAGTGAAACTCTCACCAAAAAAAAAAAAAAAAAAAAAAAAAAAGAAAAAAGGCTTTAATCATTTTTGGAATGTCTCTCATAATGTAGGTTTCAGCTTTCTAGACTGCAGTCTCTTTTTATTTTTATTTTTTATTTATTTAATGTTTTTATTGCATTTTAGGTTTTGGGGTACATGTGAAGGACATGCAAGATTGTTGCATAGGTACACACATGGATGTGTGATTTGCTGCCTTCCTCCCCATCACTTATATCTAGCGTTTCCTCCCATGCTATCTCTCCCCAACTCCCCACCCCCTGCTGTCCCTCCCGTTTCCCCCTGACAGACCCCAGTGTGTGATGCTCCCCTCCCTGTGTCCATGTGTTCTTGTTCAGCACCCACCTATTAGTGAGAACATGCGGTGAAGGTGCAGATTCTTCAGGCATCGATCACATGATTTGCATTATAGCTATGATGATTCAGTCTTGTCTCTTTGGTTCCTTCATCTTTCTTGGGGCCTTGCATTCTCTTGACTCTGCTTTTCTCTGCTGATCTCTTTCTTGTCTCATTCTCTGTTTATATGTATATCAGGCAGTGGCTGCCATAGTCTCTCATGACATTGTCTCTGCCCTTTATTTCTGAGTCCCTGGGGAGTGGTTGGGCCAGCTTAGTCAATTGTAGTCTGTAGGAGTGACTGCCTGAATTCACCCCTGTAGATTGGGAAGCTTCTTTGGGGCAGGGGCTTTTTCTGAATGGTCTTATTTCATGGGCCAAGGTATAGTTGATTTTCATTATTTGCAGTAGTTACGTTCTAGAAAGTCATGAACACTGAACTAGTGAATACTGAAATCTTGCTCCTAGTGGAAGTACAGGTTTACAGAACATTTCATCAACTAATCAATACTTAATCTTGTTTTTTTGTGTGCTTCTGTTTAAGGACACCGTATTTAATATATAATTGTTGATTTATTAACGTTGAACTCATAGCTAACAGCACTGTAACTGATGACTGAACCAGCCTTATGTAACATGTATTTTTGTCATAAGCCATATAGCTATAAGCCATAGTATTCTTGTACTTAGAAACACAAGGCAACACTTCAGCATTATGCTTGGGGGCCATTTTAAGCAGCTAAATCACCAACAGACAGTGCAAAAATGCAAGAATCATGGCACTAAATCGACTATAGAATGGATACTTGTTTGTATTATGAGAGCTGAAACAAGAAAGCCTTGTTTGGCCTCAGCTGGGAATAGGTGCATTAGGCATTTCAAATTTGTTGTTGCTCTGTGCATGTCTGTGAATCACCATACAAATGACACAAGTACTGATTTTGGGGTTATAAATAAATTTTAGCTGGGTACAGTGGCTCACGCCTGTAATCCTAGCACTTTGGGAGGCTGAAGCAGGTGGATTGCCTGAGCTCATGAGTTTGAGACCAGCTTGGGCAACATGGTGAAACCCCATCTCTACTAAAATACAAAAAATTAGCTAGCCATGGCATCATGTGCCTGTAATCCCAGCTACTCGGGAAGCTGAGACAGGAGAATTGCCTGAACCTGGGAGGTAGAGGTTGCAGTGAGCTGAGATCGTGCCACTGCACTCCAGCCTGGGTGACAGAGCAAGACTCCATTTTATAAATAAATAAATGTGAGGAGGTAAATGTGTAGATAGGGAATCTATGAATAATGAAGATTGATTACGTGTATGCAGTGTGGGTGAGGAGAGCATTTACAAAGGATGTTGTCAGTTGGTGGGAGTGGTGCCTGAAAAGGCTTCATAAGGAGTCAACATGTAAGATAAAGTCTGAAAGATGAGGTTTGCCAGATAGGCACAACTGAGGATAGGATAAGCATAGCAAAGCAGTTATGAGTATGGGTGTTCGAATCTCAGATTAGGCTCACTTCCCATCTTTT